TAAGTGACACATGACTATGTGCACTTCACATGCATATCAAATCTGTGGCATCATTTGTCAATCAAATAGGCATCTGAGTCATTATTACGTCATGTTTATCTTTTTAAATTTTTTTTCTTAGTTGTTGATAGATCTTTATTTATTTATACGTGGTGCTGAGAATCTAACCAGTGCCTCACACATGCCAGGCAATTGTGCTACCACTGAGCTACAGTCCCAGCCCTCATGTTTTTATTTTTTATTAATTGAAGATCAAACTTCACCATTTCTTCTTGCCAACTAGGCCTGCCTTGGCTGAGTGTATTACTTATAGATAAGGTCTTAGATAAAAATCTATTAAGGCCACTGAAGGTGGCTGGAAGGAAAGGAAGACACATTCTGTAGTGGTAGATGAATCACTACTCTGGGTCAGGCTGATAAGACTTTCATTGCCTCTATCTCCCATGGCTGGGCTCCAAGATCACACACGATCACAAATACAAGGCACCCAGTGCAAGAGCAGCCTCTTTTGGTTGGTGGGGTTCAGCCGTGGGTCATCTTCTGGCTGGCTTTGTCTTCAGCACTCGGGGCTCTTCCCTGTTCCCCTTTGAGCGGCAGGCTCCTGCCCTGAGTCCTGGTACCTGGGTTCTCTCCCTCCCGCAAGCTACAAGTGCTTTTCTTCCTTGGCTCTTGTGCCCAGGTCCTTGTTCTGGTGACTGGGATAGCTTCCGCCTGGCCTAGAGCCCTGTCTAGCTCTTGCCACTGCTCTCTCCATGCTCTGGCTCTCATTCTAGCCAAGACCTGTGGCTGAAGCCCTGCAATTTGTGAACAGGCCTCTCAGACACCATCTGCTGCCCTGGTCCCATGAACAGTGCCTGCCCAGGCTCTCTCTCTTGAGTTCAGCCCACCTGCTAGCACTCCCTGAAACCTCTTCTCAGACCTCTGCCAAGAAGCTCTTGGCCTGAGTCCTCAAGTGAGATTAAGGTATTCTTGAATTTTTCAATTTTTACTTGGCTGAAAACAGCACTGTCTGCCACCTCTGTCCCCAGCCCTCTTTTGCTGATTCCTCAGTGCCCTCCAACTCAGGAGGATTAGAAGCGGTTGTAATATAATGAAGATGATGATAAAGGTAAAACTAAATGCTGACTACATGAGTGCCAGGCGCTGCATGAGTACAGCAGCAGTCCTTGCTTTCATGAAAGCAGCACAAGAATATAGACCTTGCATGTTCTCAGCACTTCCTTACTTGTTACTCATTCTTGGACTCTCGGCCTTTTCCTCCTCCACCAAAAGTGTTTTAATTTAGGTCAATAATAACCTCCTAATTTGCAAATCCAACAAACACTTCTTCCTCCTCTTACCTGAACTCTCTATGGCTTCTGGCTTTGAAAACCACTTCCGCCTCTATAAAACCCCCCTTCCCTGTGGTTCTTTGACAGGCCAACCCTCACCCAGTTCCCTTTTGACCTCTCTGGCTACTCATTCCTCGTTCTTCATTTCTTTCACATGTACCTCCTCCAATCTTTACCTTTTACATGATGGCTTCTTCAGGACACTATGCTCCCTCTCTCTTCTCTTCCCTATCTGTACTCTCTTCCTAGGTGATTATTTCCATTCCTGTAGTTTCAAAGATGGAAGGCGGCTTTCTGGAAACTTGGGAACCCATTTAGGATCCTCACTTAAGGAAAGATGAATCAGTTATTTTGGTAAAATATCTTTTCCTTTGGATTAAGTATTTTGTCCCAGATTGAACTGTGTCACACAAAAAGACATGCTATAGTCCTAGCCCCTAGTACCTGTGACTTTATTTGGATATGGTGTCTTTGCAGATATAATCAAATTAAGATGAAGTCACAGGGTAGGCGTTAGTCCAATATAATTAGTGAATTTAGAAAAGAGATAAAGACACACGGGGAGAGTATCATGTGATGATGGATGCAGAGATTGGAGTGATGATTGGCAAGACAAGGATCACCAATGATTGATGGCCACCACCAGAGGCCAGAAAGAAGCAAGGAAGCATTCTCTCTTACAGGTTTTGGAGGCAATCATGGCCCATGCTGACATCTTGATCTTAGAGTCCTATTCTCTAGAACTCAGATAATACATTTCTACTGTTTTAATCCACTGGGTTTGTGGTCCTTTGATACAGCAGTCTCAGGACACCAGCACACACACTCCATTGTCCTACAGCTCCTAATTTTTTAAATTGTAGATTAAGGACACAATACCTTTATTCTATTTGTTTGTTTTTATGTGGTGCTGGGGATCCAACCCAGTGCCTCTCCCATGCTAGGCAAGAACTCTACCCCTGAGCCACAACCCAGACCCTACAGTTCCTGCTTTAAGCAACTAGCTGTAATTTGCAATGTGTTTTGTGTTGAGAAAATTTTGCCTTCAACTTTCCCCTAGGTTCTCAGGCTTTCAAATATCATACACTATTTTCTTAAAAATTTGAATATTAATATTAGGTTTGCAATTTAAATTTTTCTTAGTCTTCTGCTGTAGGGCATTAGGGAAAAAAGCAATTATTTAATCACTGCACTCCCAGAATAAAATATAGTTCTTTAAGGGAAATACTTTGGGTTTTATGAAACTCACTGCTTTATTCCAACTTTCCAGTTTTCAGACCCATAAAAACTTTACAACAGAAACACTTTAGAATCTATATCATAATATTAATACATAAATATGGAAGACATCTTTTCTTTGTTCCTAGACATCTTCTCTTCCCTTCTAATTTTTTTGGACATAATATGATATTGGACTAATAACTGGCAAGAGGGATAATTTAGGGATGGGAAGGTGTAGCTCAAGTGGTAGAGCATTTATTCACATATGCAAGGTACTGGTCCCTTAGCACCAGAGAGAGAGGGAGGGAGAGAGAAAGTGAGGGAAGGAGAGAAAAAAATCTATTTATAAAGCAGAAGCTGGAAAGAACAGGAAAAAAGCCCTTGGGGGGCTACTGGAGATTTGACTCAGGGGACGTTTTAGTACTGAGCCACATCTTCAGTCCTTTTTATTTATTTTTAAATATTTATTTTTTAGTTGTAGTTGAACACAAAATCTTTATTATTTTTATGTAGTGCTGAGGATCGAACCCAGGGCCTAGCATGCTACCCTGAGTCACAACCCCAGCCCCTAGCCCTTTTTGAGACAGAGGCTCTGGAACTTGATCCTCCTGCCTCAGTCTCCGGAGGGCTGAGGTTACAGGCCACTGTGGGCAGCAGGAAAAAATGTCTATTTAGAGAGAATTATCTCTCAAAGCAAATGAGAAGGTAGAGAGGCATGCTTAAGTTTGAGTGAACTGGGGGAGCCTGAGTTCAGCATAAGAAATTGAAAATGATGTGAGGAAAAATGAATTTCAGGAAATTTGCTGTATTGTGTGAATGCTCTCTTCAGTGTCTCTTAATTTGAGGTTTAATGAAGAGATTTAATGCCCCCCCTCATCCCCGACTGGACTTTTATTGCTTTTCATATTTATTTATTTAGGTATCCAGGATTGAACCCAGGGGTGCTTTACCACTGAGCCACATCCCCAGCCCCTTTTTAAATAGTTTATGTAGAGACAGAATCTCATTGAAATTACTAAAACTGGCTTTGAACTCAAGATCCTTCTGTCTCAGCCTTCCAACCTGCTGGGATTACAAGCGGGGCCACTGTGCTGGGCTTTATTGTGCGTGTTTAAGGTATCCAACGTGATGTTTTCGGATACATTTAGATAGTGAAAGGTTACCTTAGTGAACAAATAAGTAGAACTACTCGTGTGTATGTGTGTATGTGTGTGTGTGTGTGTGTGTGTGCAGAATCCCATATAAAATTTTTTAACTTAATGGACTTGTATTTCTCTGGGTTACGGTGTGGGATCAAATCATAAGGCAGCTGCACTGTTTTAAGGGCTGCATGTGATTATATGAACTCTCTCAGAGGCCGCATGTATACGGTTCAGGCTGGGAGCTCTGAAACTGGAACCCCTGTAGTCGAATCCTAGCCCCCAGTCCTTTTCTGTCTGTATCTGAAAGAATTTCTTTCCTGTCCTGTGCCTCTTTTCTCCACCCACAAAAGGGAAATAGCAATACGCATCTCGCTGGACTGTTGGAAAGACGAATTAATAGAGAGAGGGCAACTAAGGACGGTGCCTGGCTGTGGACGTCTGTCGGTTGATTGCTGGCAAGAAGAAATAAATTTACACATAATTTGTCACCTGCTAAACCTAACAAACCCAAGTCACCTTCTGTGGTTCACCGTTTCTAAATTTCTGGCTTGGCGTCCCTTAAACCCGACCTCGAGGGGAGGGGAGGGGAGGGGGGATAGTAGAGGATAGGAAAGGCAGCAGAATACAACAGACACTAGTATGGCAATATGTAAATCAATGGATGTGTAACTGATGTGATTCTGCAATCTGTATATGGGGTAAAAATGGGAGCTCATAACCCACTTGAATCAAATTGTGAAATATGATATATCAAGAACTATGTAATGTTTTGAACAGCCAACAATAAAAAATTAAAAAAAAAAAAAAAAAAAACCCGACCTCGATTCCCTGGGCAGGCTTTGCAGCGACCTTCCCCCGGGCGGGCAGAGATGCAACTCCGGGTTGCAGGTCTCCCCGAGCCCGCCTGCTCGGACGTCCTCCTCTGCCAAGAGCTCCCAGCACTTCGGACCTCTACTCGAGCTTTTCCCCGGTTGTGTGCGGCGACCGTTTGCAGGGGCTGACCCGCCTGCACAGAGTAGATGTTCAGTTAGAGTGGACGCGAAGGACAATGTTGTACTTTCTCCCCCCAAATACTCCAGTGGGGGCGCGGGGCGAGAGGGGTAGCCGCGGTCGGCGGGACAGTCCCAGCATCCCAGGACCCGCCGCCCAGCGCCGGACCAGCCACGTCGCTGCGGGCCGGGGCGGGGCTCCGCAGAGGCTTGGCCTGGGGCGCCCGCCGTCACGTGACGCCCCTCCCGCGCGCACCGCTGGGGGCGGTCCCCGCCCTCCCCCGGAGCCGAGGCGCTGGAGCGGGCGCGGTGCACTGTGGGCAGAGGGGCGGGGGTTGGGAAGATGGCGGCTCCCAGCCTCCTCAACTGGAGGCGGGTTTCCTCCTTCACGGGGCCGGTACCCCGCGCCCGGCACGGACACCGAGCCGTGGCCATCCGGGAGCTGATGATCATCTTTGGCGGGGGCAATGAGGGCATCGCGGACGAGCTGCACGTCTACAACACCGGTAGGCGCGGCGGCGACTCTCGGCCCCGCCTGCGGGAGCCTCGGAGGGGGAGGGGAGACGAGGCGGCGGCCGCGGCCCTGACAGCTGTCACCGCCCGGTCACCGCTTCCTCTGCTGGGCGGCCCGGGCCCGTAGCATCTTGGACCGCAGCTCCGCTTCCCCGGGGCCCCGCGGGGCGGGTCGGACCTGGAGCCGGGGCGCCGCTCCTCAGGTGGGCCGCCCCGACCCCCGCGCCCCCGCCCGGCCGGCAGACCTCGGCGAGACACGGCGTCCACCGGCCTGGGCCTTGGCTGCGGCCTCGCCCACTGCGGGGGCCGGGGTACCGCCGCTGTCAGGAAACAAAACCCCCTGCAAGCCAGAGCTCCTCCGGGCCGTGCCTTCTCGCCTTCCTTCCTCCGCTCCTCAGGAGGAAGGGCTTAGCGGGCGAGGAGAGAGAGGGTCCTTCTGGGACCCTGCGCTCAGTACGGCCCCGAATCCGGCAGAGCTTCGCGGTTTCCCCGGTCGGTCGTCCCTGACCCAGCGGGGAGCTGGCTGGGGGCGAGCCCGGCCTGCTCTCTGCGGCCGGGGTGCGTGCGGCGCCGTTCGCGACCGGTCTCCCGATACGAGGGTGTCACGACTTGACCCCCTGCAGATCGCAGGTGCCGCTGGTTAGCGAGGCCGCCCTGCCCTGGACTCTCCGTAGCATAGAAAGCTGGAATTTATTGTTTTCCCTCCACTTGTAAATACTCCAGTTATCTAAAGAAATCGGTGCCCTGGATGTAAGGCTAATTACTGAATTGGGGGTTGATTTCATGATCGACAACTTTTCTTTGACCAAACAACGTAGCCCTAATCTCTTTAAAGTTTAACAGAACAGTAAAGTAGGGAACTTTTTCGTCCTCTCCTCCTCGGAACAACCCAGAGTATAACGTTAAAAAGCTATGGATTTAGTATGGTGTGAAAACTCTGGCTTTCGAACAAATTTGACCTAACTTGAAACTTTTCTGCCAATTATCCAGAATCAGCATTAAATTTACCAAATTTTTCAAAATTTCAGATTTTTATTTGTAAAACGGCGAAGATACTCACCCAGCAGAGGGTTTGTAAGAATTGGATGATATAGATCAATAGCACTGTTGACATTTAGGGCCAGATGATCCTTTGCTGTGGGGTATTATTATGTACATTGTAAGATGTTTGACAGCATCCCTGGCCTCTGTCCACTACTTGCCAGTAACATTTCCATTTCCATTTGTGACAACTAAATTGTTTCCAAACGTTGCCAAAGGATGATTCCCTTGGGGGTGGGAATCATCAGTTGAGAACCACTGACACAGATGATACCTATAAAGTATATATTCATAGAATGTGCTAATCATTGTTATAATTGATTTTAATTTTATTTTGGCAATTAGTTACAAATCAGTGGTTCCTACCAGCTGTTAGAGGAGACATCCCTCCAGGCTGTGCTGCCCATGGATTTGTCTGTGATGGTACCAGAATATTAGTATTTGGGGGAATGGTTGAATATGGAAGATACAGCAATGAGTTATATGAGTTACAAGTAAGTGTATTTAAGATTTATTATTTCAGTCTAAAGTTTTAATACTGATACTGGTCATAATTCATCAAAAGATCACAAAATATTTCATTAGCATATTTAAAATAGCATGAACTTCACACTTTATAGCTTGAAAGAAAATGTTTCCACTTCATTTAAAAGCCAAAGTTTCTAGTCTAAGTTCTTTTCCATGCCCAGTGTGACATTTGTAGCATTAAGCTAAATGTTTTACATTACTTGCATGTGTTATATGTTTAGGTTTTTGTTTCTTAGTGTAATAGTTTTTCATTTTTAATCTGTAACAGAAACACCTGAAGGATTTGTGAGAACAGATTGCTGGGCCCTGCCCGGAAGCTTTATTGTCTCTAGTGTGGCCTGAACATTTGCATTTCTGCCAAGTTCTCAACTGATGCTGCTGGTTCCAAGACTATATACTTGGAAAACCACTGCTTTGATGTCATACAAATTGTTACCTCTCACACTAATCATTATTCCCTGTTTTTCCCTGATCCCCCACAATATGTGAAAAAGAGGGTTTCAGTTCATATAATCATTTCTAAATTTGACTCCTTTATTAAACCAGATCCCTCCTTGACTCTTCTTGATTTGTGCATGTTTCCAGGGTCATTATTTTGAGGTTATCTGGGAGTTGGCAGATGTAGATGAATTGTGCTTATTTACCAGCAACCCATTTCAAAAAGTTTGAGACAAAGAATGCTTTATAGCTAGAGTATAATTTAGGAGGTTTGGTTTGTGAAATGAGCTTTATGTTAATTTAAATGTTAAAATACTTAGCATATATGGGTTACCTAATATTTGAAAATAAGTAAATAAATAAAAAATTACATTTAATCTTAAAGGTATACATAATAAATAATTTTTAAGTTGGAAAACATTAGTATTGTTAATGTTAATGTTATTATTTATAAGCTTAGTATACCATTGTGGAAATCCGTATATATAGAAAAATTAATTAGAATTTCTACATATATTTTAATTATAGAAATTATTTGTTATTTGTCATTTGTTTCAAAAATTGCTTATTGAAGACTTCTGATGGCATTTGGTTGAAAATATATTGGTATGATGCACTGTTGACAGTGTAGGAATAGGAATGCTTTCCTGATTTTACCTCAAGAGTGTTTGGTCTTTTTCAGGCAAGTCGATGGTTATGGAAAAAAGTGAAACCCCACCCCCCTTCTTCTGGTTTACCTCCTTGTCCTCGGCTTGGACATAGTTTTTCTTTATATGGTAACAAATGCTATTTGTTTGGTGGTCTGGCAAATGAAAGTGAAGATTCAAACAATAATGTTCCCAGGTATGCCGACTCTTATTTTAGATCAAATGCTTATTTTATGATTTAGATGAGGATCATTTGGTTTCTTCCATCTTTATTATAAGGGATAAAGCTTAACTTTTTTTTTAAACTTTTAAACCTAACAATGAACAAATTTTTGTGTACTTGTATTTTCCTTAGTCTCTGGAGTGTATCTGTTTTCAATCAGAAATTATCTTACTAAGTTTATATTAATATAACTTGTATTAATATATTTATGTATCTTGATCTATAATGTATGTTTGCTAGTTCATTAATGATAACCAAAAGAAACAGATGGTTATTTTAAAATTATATTTTTCAGGGAATTTAGTGATAAAAATATGACTTATAAAATCATTTCCACATTTCATAGGAGAAATTCTTAAAAGTGATTCACACTGGCAAACACTTTTCCTCCTTTTTCTAAACACAAGTAATCACTATCTCTTTTTTCTGTAGTTTTAATGTATAAGCTCTGCTTTTTCTTATTTTGTTAAATTCCTAAATTAAGAAAATTTTTTGTTGATCTTGTGAGTTTGATTTCTTAATTTTTTGTTTATTGCTAGTTTATGGAAATAAAATTGGCTTTGTATGTTGACTTTGTATCCTGTGACCTTGCTGAATTAATCTTTTCAATCATTTTCATGGATTTCAGTTTTTCTTTTTATTATTGAGATTTAGGATACACACACACACACACACACACACATATGAAAGTATCGGTTTGTTTCTTAATATTCCAAATATTTTTCTAGGTTTCTCTTTGCCTATTTAAAAAATTTTCTTTTCTTCTTCTTTTTTTTTTTTTGGTGGTGTTGGGGATTGAACCAGAGCCTTGTGCATGCGAGGCAAGCAGTCTACCCACTGAGCTATACCCCCAGCCCCTTTATAGCTTTCTTATTTTGTATCTTCTTTAAAAAGACTCTTCCTCTCCAAAATTAAAAAAAAAATAATTTTTCTCTCATTTCTTCTAATACATTCACAGTTTTGTTTTTTTATATTTAGAACATTGGCTGGGGATATAGCTCAGTGGTGGAACACTGGCTTAGCATATGTGAGGCCCTGGATTCCATCCCCAGCACCACATTTAAAAAAAAAAAAATTCAATACATTTGGAATATACTTTTGTTATTAGTGTAAGGCTTTTCCCTCTTTTTCCTAATTGATTTCTTTCCATTTCTTCCAATACTATTTACTACATAAGCCTTTTTTTTTGGTATTGGAAATTGAATTCAGGGGCACTCAACCTGAATTAGAGACAGGGTCTCACTGAGTTGCTAAGCGCCTTGCCATTGCTGAGGCTGGCTTTGAACTCGTGATTCTCCTGTCTCAGCCTTCTGAGCCACTAAGATTACAGGCATGCATCGCACCAGCTTACATAAGCCATTTTAAAATGCCTTAATTTTTATGTAAATGGTTCATTTCTAGGCTTCCTATCAGAAGTTACAGACTGTGCTTTGTGGGCAAAGTTTGCCTGCTGGCCTATTTTTATTTATGAAGTTTTATTGGATGGGCTGGAGTTGTGGCTCAGCTGTAGAGCTCTTTCTTGCCTAGCACCTGTGAGGCCCTTGGTTCAATCCTAAGCATCACATAAAAATAAATAAAATAAAGGTATTGTGACCAACTCCAATAAAAAGTAAACTTTTTTTTTTTTTTAAGTTTTATTGGAAGATAGCCACATCCATTCATTTGCACATTATGTTTGGTTGCTTTTGTGTTAAAATAGTAGAGTTGAGTAGTTGCAACAGACTTTGTGGTCCACAAAGTCTAAAATATTTATTATCTAGCCCTGTACAGAGGAAGTTTGTTGACTCTTGCTTTAAACTTTATTCTGTGTCATTAATTTATTTACTTTTCTATCATTAATTGCATTGTTTTCTGGTATATGCCTTTGATGAGGATATTTTCTACTTCTTTTGGTACTGTGGTTTGAATCTAGGGGTGCTTTACCACTGAGATACATCCCTAATCCTTTCTTAAATTAAAAAAAAAATCTATTTTGGGGGAGTGGGGTACCAGAGATTGAACTCATGGGCACTCTACCACTGAGCCACATCCTCAGCCCTTTTTTTCGTATTTTATTTAGAGAGAGGATGCCACTGAGTTGCTTGGTGCCTGGCTGTTGCTGAGGCTGGCTTTGAATTCGCAGTCCTCCTGCCTCAGCCTCCCAAACCACTGGCTGAGATTACATGTGTTTGCCAGCTGGCCTGGCTGAATTGTTATTAAATTCTGAAATATGAGCCACATTTTTATTCCTAGTTAAGACTCCTTTTATTATATTACAGAATTTGTTTCATACCTTGTCAAGTTCACATTGCTTATTTAAAAAAAAAATACACACACACACAAACACTCTCAATGATTTTGCCTATTTTATTTGGGGAGTGAGTGCTATATCTGTTATTGATTGATCATTATCTTCATTTTTAGTATTTCTTTTTTTTTAATATTTATTTATTTTTTTTAGGTCTAGATGGACACAGTACAGTGCCTTTATTTTTATGTGGTGCTGAGGATCGAACCCGGGTCCCACCCTTGCTAGGCGAGTGCTCTACTGCTGAGCCACATTCTCAACCCTAGTATTTCTTTATATTAAGAAAATTTGGTAGGGGCTGGGGTTGTGACTCAGCAGTGGAGCACTTGCCTAGCACGTGCGAGGCTTTGGGTTCCATCCTCAGCACTACATAAAAATAAATAAATAAAATAAAGGTATTGTGTCCAACTGCAACTAAAAAATTAAAAAAAGAAAATTTAGCCTTTTTCTGTGATGTCTAAAAAACAAAAAAACAAAAAAAAAATTTTCCAGTTTGATCTTTTTCTTTCTTTCTTTTTTTTTGGTACTTGGTATTGAACCCAGGAGTACTTTACCACTGAGCTACATTCCTGGTCTTTTTAGTTTTTTAAAATTTTGAGACAAGGTCTCACTAAATTGCTGACTGGTTTCGAACTTGCAGTGCTCCTGCCCTAGCCTCCCTAGTCACTGAGATTTCAGGCATGTACCACTATACCTGGCTTTGACCTTTTTCTTTTCATACAGTTTATGGTGGGTCTTTCTAAAAAAAAAAAAAAAAAAAAAAAGTCTTATTAAATGCTTTCTGTGTGGTATGCTTTACTTGTTTTACCATTTTTAATTTTTTTCTTAATTCTTTGCTTCCCTCAGTTGCTTAGAAATTAACACTCATTTTAAACTGAAAATGTCTTATCACCTCTGGGAATAAATTGCTGTCTTACCATTAGCATTCTTTTGCCTATCACCTTTTGCTGTATGTTCAATATATTCTTGAATCTATTCTGGACTATAGTGATGTTAAGAAATTAGCTTTTTAGTAATTTTTTTTTCCAGTACTGGGATTGAACCCAGGGGTACTTCATCACTGAGCTACATCCCCACCCCCCTACTTTTTTTTTTTTTTTTTAAATCTTGAGACAGGGTCTTGCTAAGATACCCAGGTTGGCCTCAAATTTGGGATCCTCCTGCCTAGGTTGTTAGGATTACAGATTATGACACTATGCCCTTTTTTAGTACATCTTTCTTAGTGACAATTAAGAATATCACTTTATCTGGGTGCAGTAGCATATGCCTGTAGTCCCAGCGGGAGACTGAGGCAGGAGGATCTTGAGTTTAAAGCCAGCTTCAGCAAAAGCGAGGCACTAAGCAACTCAATGAGACCCTGTCTCCAAATAAAAAAATAGAAAATAGGGCTGGGGATGTGGCTCAGTGGTCAAGTGTCCCAAAGTTCAATCCCTGGTACCACAAAAAAAAAAAAAAAAAAATTAACGGGCTGGGGATGTGGCTCAGTGGTAGAGTGCTCGCCTAGCACTTGTAAGGCCCTGGGTTTGATCTTCAGCACCACATATAAATAAATAAATAAATAAATAAATAAATAAAATGTATTGTGTCCAACTACAACTAAAAAATAAATATTGAAAAATATAACCATAATTTACTGGTGTTTTGCTCTACCATTTCTCTTATGCCTTTCTTGAATTTCTTTTTCCTAGTTAATATTTTGAATCATTTTTTCCCAGAACAATTACATGGCTAAACTTTGAAGTTTTATATGTCCTAAATGTTTTCTTTTGGTCTCTTTCTTTTTTAAAAAAATATTTTGAAAGTTATAGATGGACAGAATGCATTTATTTATTTATTTATTTATTTATTTATTTATTTTGCTAAGGATCGAACCCAGTGCCTCACATGTGCTAGGCAAGCACTCTGTCACTGAACTACAGCTCCAACCCTTGCCCTCATTCTTTTTTTTTTTTTTTAATGTTTGTTTTTAGTTGTCGCTGAACACAGTACTTTGATTTTATTTATTTATTTTTATGTAGTGCTGAGGATAGAACCCAGGGCCTCGAACATGCTAGGTGAGTGCTCTATTGCTAAGCCATAATCCCAGCCCCTTGCCCTCATTCTTGAGTAAAAATTTGGTAGGAAGTAGATTCCTACCAAAGTCATTTTGCTGAAAACTTTGAAAACATCCACAACACAAATAAGTTTAATGCCAGTGTCTAAAGTAAAGAAGCTACTTGGACATTGCTATGACATTGCAGTGGGGAGAAAAGTTGCAAAGCCCCATTTGTTATATGCCTTGTTTATCATATGTTGACATCCAGAGAGAGAGAGATGTCTTATAGGTATTTGCCCAAATATTATAGGAAGTATTTGTTCTGGTTATCTATTACTGTGTGATAAACTGCCCAACGTTTAGTGCTACAGAATTACAACTATTTTATTATGCTCATGAACTCTGTGGGTCAGAAATTCATACAGGACACAAAAGAGAAGGCTAGACTCTGAAGTGGGAAGGTTTGAATGGTTACTCCCATATCTGATGCCTCAACTGAGATGGCTGAAGGACATACTGAAAGTACTGTCACCCTGCGTACCTATGGTGGCCTCTTCAGATGGTGGTTTTTTTTTGGTAGCTAGAGTTTTTTACAATTCAAGAACAATGATTTTGTGAAGCTATATGGACCTGTGGAGAATCAAAGGGAGGAGTCATAGACCCCACCCCCTGATGGGAAGAGTGTCAGAGAATTTTGATTTGTGTTTTAAAGCTACCACCATTGTCACTGATACCTTCACTGTTGGCTAAATGATGGCAGGGATTTTTTTGCTCTCTTCTGTTCTCTGCTAAGCTCTGGAAGAGCACCTGGTACATAGTAGTATTTGGTAAATGTTGAATGAATGGTCTGGGGTTTCTGCTGGCTTTATGAATTTAACACTAAAGCTAAAAACCATCACCTGAAGAGGTCACACAGAGTGGACAGTACCTTTGGCCTGTCCTTTAGCAATCCCACTTAAGACATCAAACAGGGGAATAACCATTTAAACCTTCCTATTTGAGAGTCCAGCCATTCTTTCTGTGCTCTGTTTCTTTTTTATTATTATTATTTTTTTAGTTGTGGGTGGATAAAATACCTTTATTTTTCGCTTATTTTTTTTTTTGAATTTTTTAATATTTATTTTTTTAGTTCTCGGCGGACACAACGTCTTTGTTTGTGGTGCTGAGGATCGAACCTGGGCCGCACGCATGCCAGGCGAGCGCGCTACCACTTGAGCCACATCCCCAGCCCCTTATTCGCTTATTTTTATGTGGTGCTAAGGATCAAACCCAGTGCCTCACACATGCTAGGCAAGTGCTCCACTTCTGAGCCACAACCTCAGCCCCTCTGTGCTTTGTTTCTAATATGAATTTTTTACATACTTTATAAATAGAAGCAAAAAACAGATAAAAGACATATATTATCTGAATGTTTTCTTTTTTTTTTCATGATATGCAGATATTTAAATGATTTCTATGAGTTGGAGCTGCAGCATGGTTCTGGTGTTGTGGGATGGAGCATTCCAGTCACTAAAGGGATAGTGCCTTCTCCAAGAGAATCCCACACAGCTGTTATATATTGCAAAAAAGATTCTGGAAGTCCTAAAATGTATGTTTTTGGTGGAATGTGTGGTGCTCGCCTGGATGACCTGTGGCAGCTTGACTTAGGTAAACTTAACTTGATTGAGGCTGGATTGGTATGATTATAAGGGCAAATTTCAAATACCTTGAAAATATTTTTAAAAAATATTTATTTTTTAGTTGGACATAGTATCTTTATTTATTTATTTTTATGTGGTGCTGAGGATCAAACCCAGGGCCTCGCATGTGCTAGGCGAGTGCTCTACTGCTGAGCCAAAACCCCAGCCCTTGAAAATATTTTTGCTTGTAGTATTTATTGAGTTGCATTAATTATAGCCTGTACTTGTAGTCTCAGACACAGATGAGATGCAATCAGTTAGGCTAAACAAATGAATTTGATTTATGACAGTAACTCTTCTGTGTTCCCTGTTAGTAGTTTCACCAGAGGTTCTGGTTTTCCAGATATGGTCCTGCTTTACCTGATATGGTCCAGCTTTATGCTTACTGTTCTATGTAATTATCAGTAGTACTCCATTTCACACTGAAAAGTGTCCAGTTGAAAGTTATATATGGCTACCTTATCAATAGGAAATGTAGTATTAGCAATTAGTCATTAAAAAACCCTTAGGTAGCTTTTTCTGAAGGGACTGTAGGAATGAGTGACTAAAGGGCAAATGTGTCTCTCACCTTTAACTATAAAGTACACTATGGTAAATGTTTGTTGAATGAATGGTCTGGGGTTTCTGTTTACTATATGAATTTAATACTAATGCTAAAACCCACTGTCTGGGGCTGGGGGTTGTGGCTCAGAGGTAGACGCTTGCCTAGCATGCGTGAGGCTCTGGGTTTGATCCTCAGCACCACATAAAGTAAAATAAAGACATTGTGTCCACCTATAACTAAAAAATAAATATTTAAAAAACCAAAAAACACGTCTGAAGAAGCCACACAGGTACGCAGGGTGACACTACCTTCAGCATGTATAAAGTACACACAGTGTACTTTTACTTGAAACATTAAAAACACTAATAATATTGTTCTTAATTCAGAATTGGGTGATACTCTAAGTACTAACCTTCTCCATAACAAATGCTAACATTCAAGTGTAAATAGATTTCTGTCTTGTCAATTTATGTCAACTGAAAATGTTCATTTTAAAATGAAATTCATATAACTGCTGTGAAACATTTTTACTTCATTTTGACAAGTACTTACTTTGTTCTATTTTTAAAAAAATTACACAAGTTGAGGTAATTTGCTATATTAGATCAAGTTGCTAATATCCTTTTTTTTTTTTTTTTTTTTTTACTTTTAGAAACTATGTCATGGTCAAAACCAGAAACTAAAGGGACAGTTCCACTTCCACGAAGCCTTCACACGGCCAGTGTTATAGGAAATAAGTAAGGATTTTTTTGTGTTGTTTTTGCTTTAAAAAAAAAAATTAGATGTATGTAAAAGTGATACTCCTAGTTTCTTGGAAATAGATTACTGAACTTAATGATGTTTGTGCTTTCTGAAGCTAAAAAATATTTGCAGAAGCTAAAATACTTTATCATTTTCTTATCATACTGCTTCTTATATGTCTTTGTCATTTTCTTTCATATTGCCTCTTATACATCTTTATCTTCCTCACAACTCCTTGTCCAGAGTAGGCACTACCTGAGTGTAAGGCAGGATGTTGTCAACTGATATATTTTTTGTGGATGGTTTGGTATACCTATCTCACTGTTTCTTTTGACATATTTTTAGCACTGCTTGATTTGTATTCAGGCACATACAATAGTTGTGTTTGGAAGGACATATGGAGTTATGGTTAGAATACAGGCTTTGTAACTATATGGCCTAAATTCAAGCCTCAGGTTTCATACTTGTCCTTTGTGACCTGGGGCAAGGAAATTTAATTCATCTGTACCTCACTTTCCTCAAGAATACAATGCAGATTAAAGTAAAACTTCACAAGGTTTTAGTGAGGATTAAATGTATTAATACATAAAAATGCTTAGAACAGTGCCCTATACATTCAGAGCACTTGAAAAATATTAACTGTACAAGTATCCCTATTTATGTAACACTGGGCCATGATTAGGAGTATTATTTAAGTAGAACTTAATGAAGTATTTACTAGTACGGGGTTTTTACCTTAAATGTAATGTTTCAGGACAGTACTAGTTGTAATTTAGAATCTCAGTAATTTACACAATTGAAAACTCGGGACTTAAAAGATTAATTGAAAAAACTGGTAAGATCTGAGTAGTCTGAAGTTCAGTATTTAACAAATGTTTTTTTGTTGTTGTTGTTGTTGTTGTTTTTAAAAAAGCCAGTATGCACATGCCTGCAATCCTGGAGACCCAGGAGGCTGAGGTAGGAAAATCGCAAGTTTGAGGCCAGTGTAGACAATTTAGTTAAACCCTGTCTCAAAATAAAAATAATAATTAAAAAAAGGATGGGGGATGTGACTCAGTGGTACAGCTCTCTTGGGCTCAATCCCCAGTGTCACAAAAATAAATAAATAAATAAAAGCTTCAGAGTCAAACAGAATCATCTTCACAGTTAAACATAATCTTGTACAATGCAATTTTCCATTGGAATATTATATATTCCAGCATATAAAATACAAAAAATGTGGAGTTTCCCTGATTGGCATAAGGACTCATGATCCCTAAACTCTATCTGATGAGCTTATCTTCTTTAGCAGCCATGAGGCTTTTCTCAAGAACCTCTAGGACTCTGAGGACATAGTTTTAAATTTATTTTTTGTTTTTTCTGGTATTAGGGATTGAACTCAGGGTCACTTTACCTCTGAGCCACACACCTGGTCCTTTTTATTCTTTTTTATTTTTTTTAGTGTTGATGGACCTTTATTTTATTCATTTATTTATATGTGGTTCTGAGAATTGAACCCAGTGCCTCCCGTGTCTGAGGCAAACGTTCTACCACTGAGCCACAACCCCAGCCCCTTCTTATTCTTTTTTTCAATTTTTAGAGAGGGTCTTGCTAAGTTGCTGAGGATCTGTCAAGTTAGTGAGGCTGGCCTCAAACTTGTAATCTTTCTGCCTGAGCCTCTAAGTAGGTGAGATTATAGGTATGTACATATTGTGCCTAGCAGTCCTGAAACTGAGTCAACAAATAAATCTTTTGTTCATTTTTAACATTCTAATCCAACAAGTGAAATTAAATCACCTACTTTCTGTTCTTGGTTTTCTGGTTTTTTTTTTTTTTTTTTTTTTTGATTGTTGTTCAGAATGTACATTTTTGGTGGATGGGTTCCACATAAGGGGGAAAATATTGAGACTTCACCTCATGATTGTGAATGGAGATGTACCAGTTCATTTTCTTACCTAAATCTAGGTGAGTCTTTTAAAATTTACTCATTGAAATAAGATTTATTAATAAAAGAATTTGTGAAATTTTGATGTTTAAGAATAATAGATCAGTCATGGATATTCCTATGGTTTTAGATACAGCAGAGTGGACCACTCTAGTATCAGATTCTCAGGAAGATAAAAAAAATTCAAGACCAAGACCAAGAGCTGGACACTGTGCCGTAGCAATTGGCACTCGATTATATTTTTGGAGTGGAAGAGATGGCTACAAAAAAGCACTGAATAGTCAAGTTTGCTGCAAGGATCTTTGGTATCTTGATACTGGTGGGTAAGAGTATTTAGCAAATAAAATCTATCCTTTAGGTAAATACTCAAATAATTTTTGTCTTTTAAGATTTAATCTAAATGACACTGCCTCTTTCCTATAATTTAAAAAAAAAATGAGAGAAATAATTTGTGTAGATATTTCCCACATCAGAGGAATATATATTAATTGCTCTTTTCTTGAGTGTAGCTTGAACTTAGAGATTTCTTTCCAAAGAATAGAGTATGGAAAGGGAAAAAACAGTAGCCTCATGGGGAAACCTGTAAGCACTACCTTACTGAAGTGATCAAGGTTAATGTCACTATTGATAAGTCATACTGATATATTTACCCTCCTGGAAATAATGATAAGAAAGTACTTCATCATTGTGGTACTCTTCCCAAAAATCTATTACTTGAATCTAACTTTGAAAAATATCAGATAAACTCAAATGGAGGAACGTTCTAGACGTTCTACAGAATATTTGTACAGTAATCTTCAAAAGATTCAAGACTATTAAAACATGACTAAGAAATAGTCTCAAATGGAGGAGTGTAAAATGATAAGATGACCAAAGGCAGCATGGTGTCCTGGATTGGATCCAAGAAGCCAAAAGACATTAAACCATTTTGTCCTATTGTCCTAGATTTGTGGAGTGTGTATAAAAACTTAGACATAGTTTATAAGATGCAATATATTATATACAAGGATCTAATTATAATTAACATTAATATTAATAAAATAATGTATATATATAAATTATAGATTATGATTTCCAACCTATTTCATAAGGCACCTATGTCAATTTTGTTGAAATAGTCACAGAATTGAAAATTTGGAACTTAATGGCTTAATTGAAAAATGAGGAAATCTGAGTAGTGTGAATTTTAGTAAATAGTATTAATGAGTGGCAATTTCTTAGTTTTAGCAAATGTTGGGGAAAAGGTAGATGGCAACACTATACTATCTTCACATCTTTTCTGTAGATCTGAAATCACCACATATTAAAGTGGGTTTTTCTTAAAATGTTAGAGCACCAAGAATTTTTTAAACGTGAAACTCACATCCATTTTCAATAAATATTTACTGACAGCTGTGATGCAAAAATTGTTTTTTAAGTGCTGAGAATACAACAGTGAACAAGACTGGTAATGTCCCTACTTGCACAGATTTACATTATGAGAGAGTGTGAGGGCGGGGGATAACAAATAGTATGTCAAGCAAATGAACAAAATAAGTACCATTTCTGGTAAGCATGTGGAGACATGAGATAGTGCTTGGAGGTACTGGGAATTGAGGCTGGTAGCTGCTTCAGAGTGAGTAGTCAGAAAAGGTCTCTGAAGAGATGATATATGGGATGTGTTCCAAATGGTGAGGAGGAGCTACCCACCTAAAAATCTGGGGAAATTATTGCAGGAAGAGTGAAGAGTAAATAAATTCAAGAGCCCATAGATGGGAAGATTTGGCATATTTGGGAATAGATTTGAGCCAGTTAAACAAAGAGAAGATTGTAATAATGGAAGTTAGAGATCACCATGGGACAGATCATGAAGGTCCTTGAATGCCATAGTAGATTTTGAATTGTTTATTTATTCATTGACTGATTCATTTATTTATTTTTGTGATAACTGATATTGAATCCATGGCCTCTTGTGTACTTGTAAATTGTTTTAAAAATACAATGGTAAGATATGTTTAAGTTTGAAGGAGACGTGATATGATTGGATGTACACTGGGAATGGACACTGGCAATTGTGTGAAAAATAAATTGTGGGGGCAAAAGTGTATACAGGGAGACAAGTTAGGGGGCTCTTGCAGTAATCACAACTGTCTTAGGCTGTAGTGGAGACAGTGCAGAAGGGGAAGAATGGGTAAGCTCAGGATATATTTTGGATTCTGTTGACAGAACTGGCTGATAAATTGGGTATGGCAGGTAACAGAAAGAAAAATTGAGGGTGAAGTTTTTAGCCTGAATAATTTGCTGAGATTGTGTTGAATGGAGAAAACTGTGTTGAATTTAGACCAGGCTAAGTTTAAAATGATATCAAACAAACAGTTGATGGAATAAACAGATCTACAGATTAGTGTAAACATTAGATCTAGAATTTTTGTAATTTGTGGTATTATAGGAAAAGAAAATGATAAAACATTATTATTATTATTTTTTTTTTTTGGTGGACAGTTTTGTTTTTTTTTTTGGTGGACATAGTATCTTTATTTTACATTTATGTGGTGCTGAGGATCGAACCCAGTGCCTCATGTATGCTAGGCGAGCACTCTACCACTGAGCCACAACCCCAGCCCCAATTGTTGTTTTTTTTTTTTTTTTTTTTTTTTTAATTTTTTTAGTTGTAGTTGGAAACAATACCTTTATTTTATTTATTTATTTTTATGTGGTGCTGAGGATTGAATCCAGCACCTTGCAAGTGCTAGGCAAGCGCTTTACTGCTGAGCCACAGCCCCAACCTGGACTCCAGTTTAAGTGGGTAAATAAAAAATTAGCAAGTTGACACACTGAAGTATTATTTGAGAGGTGAGATTTGAGTTTAGTTTTCTGACTATCACTCTTTTCTACAGTAGCATGTACTACTTTTGTAATATAAAATAGTTTAGTGTTAAAATTAAGATAGTTGAAAAAATAATAAGTGGAATAACAAAGCTAGAGACTAAATAATTTCTACAGAAGAAGCCCATCCTAACAAGCAGGAGAGAAATATGAAAACTCCAACATACCGAGTGATCTATGAAACTGGGAATTAGTAACCAAAATCCAAGGATAAAAATATGTGTACATGGGGCTGGGGTTGTGGCTCAGTGGCAAAGTGCTTGCTTTGCACATGTGAGGCACTGGGTTCGATCCTCAGCACCACATAAAAATAAATAAACAAAATAAAGATGCTGAGTCTCTCTATAACTAAAAATAAAAATAATAAAAAAATATGTGTATATGATGAATTTCACTCTGTAGGAAATATATATCACTTTAAACATATTCTCTAAGGGATCTGTGACTTTAAAAGTATGTAAACCATTGGATCTGAGTGGCTAGATTTTTAATCAAAGATTTTAGACACCAATATTTCCTCTAAAAGTAATCATGGCCACTGCCATAAGGGCAGAATTTGGGTGTGGCAGGTAACAGAAAGAGAAGAATTAAGGGTGAAGTTTTTAGCCTGAATAATTTGCTGAGAAAATTATCATCACCTTTTGGGGGAGGTAGGGGATATTTATCTTGCCTTTTTCACTTTTAAACTTTATACATTGGATCATATTTAAATGAGTACTAGAACTCCGTAATATGGCTTTTCATGAAAAATACCAGTCCTGTTTTTTCTTGCTTTTATAAGCATCTGTTTTCAACTCTGTTGAATGAGATCCTTTACTTCCACATCTCTACTATTGCATGCATATATTGTTACTTTGTTTGTTTGTTTTCCAGTTTTGGTGTAATATACCCACTTTCTACTATGAAAATTAAAGGATCTCTTCCCACAATACCTCACCTCTCTCCTATACTTTTTCCATCTCCTATCTTTCAATATGACTACCCCAGAGTTTCATTAGATGAGTATTCAGTATTTACATTATGACTGTATAAACACTATTTATACTTGAATCTTCCTTGTATGGTTTTCTATTTGCCATGGAGCAAATTGTCTGTTTTGTTCATGTTAGATCTGTACGCATGTACCACTAGTTCAATCTGTACTCTGTTATTTGTTAAGTCTTCTCTCATTATGGTTAGATGCATCAGATATTCTACCAAATTCATCATTTTAACTTATTTATTTATCTTTTTAGTTGTAGTTGGACACAATACCTTTATTTTATTTATTTATTTTTATGTGGTTCTGAGGATTGAATCCAGCGCCTCATACATGCTTGGTGAGTGCTCTGCTACTGAGCCACAACCCCAGCCCCTCAAATTCAACATTTTGAAGAGAGTTCTCCTGCCTTACTCTGGGATGGTTGCCCTCTACAAATCCATCACAGCTATCATCCTAGAGTCTTTATCATCTTACTGGAGTTATATTTTACCTCACATCTGTGCTGGATTCCCTGTTTCCTGGATCCCACATTTGCCCTTTTCTTAGTTTACTTCCTCATTACTCTACCACTAAGCCACAACCCTAGCCCTGTAGATTTATTTGTATAAGAAATTAAACATATAGGGCTGGGGTTGTAGCTCAGTGATGGAGTACTTACCTCACATGTATGAGGCACTGGGTTCGATCCTCATCACCACATAAAAATAAGTAAATACAATAAAGGTGTTGTGTCCATCTACAACTAAAAATATTTTTTAAAAAGAAATTAAACTTGGGGCTGGGATTGTAGCTCAGAGGTAGAGCACTCGCCTAGCACGCGTGAGGCCCTGGGTTCGATCCTCAGCACCACATAAATAAAGATATGTGTCACCTATAAGTAAAAAATAAATATTAAAAAAAAGAAATTAAACAAACAGAATCTGAACCTCAGACTACTTTCATCTGATCTACTATAGCTATGTATATATGAGTAAATTTTCTCTCTCTTGCTAAAAAAGATGCTATGTTCCTTGTTTTTGTTTTCCAAGCTACAGTCCACATAAACTTTGAAGGCAAACTATTGATACTAAATTTGAAACTAAAATGTGTAATATTAATATTGTTCTTTAGAGAAACCACCAGCACCATCACAAGTACAGTTGATCAAAGCTACTACCAACTCTTTCCATGTCAAGTGGGATGAAGTACCTACCGTTGAAGGCTATCTTTTGCAGCTTAATACAGACTTGCCTTACCAAGCTGCACCGTCAGATTCTTCAGCAGCATTAAATATGCCAGGTAAAATGAAAGTCATGCTTATATAAACCATGTATACTTTAAAAAGTATACTGCAGCTGGGCACAGTGGTGCACCTTGTAATCCTGGTGACTAGGAGACTGAGGCAGGAGGATCATAAGTTAGAGCAATATAGTGAGACCCTGTCTCAAAATTTTAAAAAGACTAGGGATGTAGCTCAGTGGTAAAGTGCCTCAGGGTTCATTCCCCAGCACTACACACACACACACACAAATACTCTACTGCAAGAGTATTAATTGCTTGGTTTAAGAAATTTTATGATCCAGGGCTGGGGCTATAGTTCAGTGGTAGAGCGCCCGCCTTGCATGAGTGAGGCACTGCGTTTGCTCCTCAGCACCACATAAAAATAAATAAAAGATTAAAATTTTTTTTTTATGGTCCAATGGTAAGTTTATATGTTGAGTTTCAGCTCTAAAACTTAGCTCTTATACCATTATGTGCAGCAGAATGGATAGATGTGCAGAATAGATTTTTTTTTCCCTGCAGTTCATTTTAATGCACTTTAAAAATTGATGTTTCTTGAGTTCAGGAGATGTTTTTGATTAGCTTTCAAAAATATTTCTTTTCTTTTCTTTTTTTTTTTTTTTAAATCTGGGGATTGAATCACTAAGCCAGATCTGCAGCCCTTTTTACTTTGAATCAGGGTCTTACCAAGTTGCTTATGGCCTTGCTAAGTTGCTGAGGCTGGCCTTGAACTCATGAACCTCCTGCCTCAGCCTCCCAAGTCATTGGGATTACAGGTATGCGCCACCGTGCCTGGCTATTTCACCTTTTTCAAATGTATTTTTAATTAGGCACTTGGAAAGTAAAAGCAAATTTTATTTTATACAGTCTTCCAGAAAGAGTTTCAATTAGCTGTTAAACTATTAAGAAAACAGATAAATTTTGAGAGAGTACTATTTAAAAAATCTTTAATATATACCTTTAAAGAATATATTAATAATATGTTTTACTGATATTCATCAAGAGCATATTAGTCTGAACTTTGTCATTCCCACAGGAGGCAGAGTGGACCCTCACAGACAAGGCAGTAATAGCATCCTTCCGAACAGTGTAAGTTAACACATTTATGATGGCAATTGAATGTTTATTGTTAAAGTCCCAATTTTTATTAAGATTTTTAGTGCATTACTTTAGAACAGGGATCCTCAACTCTGGTACACATCAGAATCATCTCTGAGATGCCCGGACAGCTCTGTTTTTAAAGAAAGCTTCAGAGCTTGGAGGTGTAGCTCCTTGGTAGAGTGCCTGCCTAGCATGTGAATCCCCTTGCTTGTATCCCCTAACACCGCAAAAAAAGGAAAGAAAGAAAGCTTTACAGACCGTTATGATAGTGGCCTGAATTAAGAGTCCCTGTCTAAGAGAAGGTCACCCTCATTATATATAATATCAGAGACTATTCATATTTACAGATCTGTTTTGGAACTTTCCTATATATAATAAATACATGTATTCTACATTTCTAGAGGTATCCTTTAAATATGTACATAAACATATTCTTTATTATATATTTTTTCCCCACAGTATATCAGTTGCTAAATTGAATACCTCTGTATGTGATTTTGAGTATGAATTAATGATAGGCAAGAACAAAAGTAAACAAATATGTCTATACCTACATCATTTTCTATGAAGAGAGTCTCCTGGTATAGATAACAATTTGTAAAACACTAATGAATTTTAGTAAGCTATTCATTAGCTTCTATGAAGCATTGTATAATTAGTAAATAAAGAAATAAAATAAATAAAAAGGCAGTTAACACTAGGAAAAACAATTGTATAAGAAAGGAACAATACTCAAAGCACTTTTATAACTTACCTGTGAATGTCACCATCTAATTATCAGTATCATAGTGTCTTTTTTCCTATGCTAGGATCCATGCTTCCTGATCTTGTTCCTCTTTTCTGGTTTTTTCTCTTGTTGCAGTATTCCCTCCCGTAGTTTCTTGAGTAATGACTTATGAAAGGTAAACATTGTGAGATCTTGTGCATCCAGAAATTTCCTTATTCTCTTCACATTTTACTGATAGTTGGGTTGGGCTATAGAATTCTATACTGGAGGGGCTGGCATTGTGGCTCAATGGTAGAGCACTTGCCTAGCGTGTGTGAGGTGCTGGGTTTTAATTCTCAGCACCACATATAAATAAATAAAATAAACATCGATTGACAACTAAAAAACACTAAAAAAAAAAAGAATTCTATACTGGAAACTTCTCAGAAAATTAAAGACATATTCCCTGCCCCCTTCCCGTCTTTTAGCATTCACTGTTGCTGTTATCACCTGGCTTCCTAATCTTTAATATATGACCTAATTTTATCCCTTTTATCCTGTTTTCAGAAATTTTACCTATGATGCTTTAGGATATGTGTCTTCATTTGAGATATGCTGTGCACTTAGTGGGCCCCACTGTTAGGGAAACTCAAGGCTTTCATTGCTGATTATTTCTTTCCTCTAATGCCTTGTTAATTTTTAAAAATTTGTTAAAATTCCTGTTGAACAATGGGCTTCCTGAACTGGTCCTCTAATTTTACTGTCAATCTCTTTTTCTACTTTCTGAAAACTTTCATTTTATATTTTAAATTTTCTATCCAATTTTTAAATATATTCAACCACATTTTTAATTTCTAAAAGCCCGGTCTTTATTTCTTTTATAAGCACTTTATTCTTGCTTCATAAATGTAATGCCTTCCCTAATCTCTTCAAGAATTATGCCTTTTTAAAAGATTTGGAGTTTTATTCTGCTCTGCAATATTTCTTTTTGTTCAAGTGTTTTTTGTTTTTGTTTTTGTTTTGGTGTTGGGGATTAAACCCAGGGCCTTGTATATTCCAGGCAAGCACTCTACCAACTGAGCTATAGCCCCAGCCCTCAAGTTTCCTTATATTTTTAAAATTTAGGCTTTCATTAGAGGTTGTCATTAAATGGTCTGTGAGTTTGGCTGTCCTCTTATGTTCCAAGTGAGGGCTGGAAGAAGAGATTGGAGACTCTATGCATGCTTATTGATTATTAGACCTTAATAAGGTCTGCTACTAAGGGTAATTGGGTGGGAATTCACAAATATTTTCTAGTTTCTTGCCTGGGGGTTCTAAGTCTGGTCCTCAGTATTTTAGGAGCGAAGTAAAGGAATGGGGCAGTAGGTCTCTCTGTTCTACAGGTGAACTTACACTTAATTCCCATTTTTAGCGTGACTGCTTAAAGGGTCATCACCACCCTTATTTGAGGGACACTAGAGCCTCACATATCAACCTGCCTGCTTACTTCCCCTCTTCAGTTAGAATGGGAGAGAGGAATTCTTCTGGCTTAGTATGCAGAGACAGCCTAGCTGGTCTTCAGCACTATGCGCACAGGCTGCCTTGTGACAGGCCTCCAGGGTTCCTTCCCTGGCGTGCTTCTGTACTTCTGCCTTTTCAGACCTGATACCTTCCTGGGTCCTGCAGCACAGATGGTTTGCATCTTAATGACTTTTTCCCTTTAGGCTCTTAGTGTCCAGCTTTTTCTACTTTATATCTTACCTACAATCTTCTCCCTTACCATACTCTTACTCCTTATGTATTTATACTTTTATACTTCATTTCTAAGTGTTTGAATTGGGTTTTTGGAGGAATATACTGAAATAAATGTATTTAATCTATCAGATTTAACCAAAACTCTTATGATATTTTATTTTACATAATTGTAGTTAGACTGTTTGAATTTTAAGTAAAGAATAGAGACACCATAACAGAGACTTTGGAATTAAATAAATTCTAGCTGTGCTACTTCTTGGTTTCCTGACTGTAGTTCTCAGATTACATAAAGTCTCTGAGTTTCAGTTTTCTTTATACAACAGAGTACATTATTCAATTTACAAAATTCTTGTGACAATTAAGTGAAATACAGAGTTTATAAATAAGTAACACAATGCCTGGTACAATTATTGTTGTTACCCTCATCATTTATTAAGAATGCACCATCACCACCAGTTATGGGCAATTCTAGGGATCTTAAGAATCTTTTATTTTTTTTTTATATATTTTTTTCTAGTTGCCAATGGACCTTTATTTTATTTATTTATATGTAGTGCTGAGACTCAAACCCAGTGCCTCACACATGCTAGGCAAGTGCTCTGCCACTGAGGTATAGCCCTAGACTGGGATCTTAGAGTCTTAAGAAATTATAAGCATTGATAATAAAGGTATAACAAAAACCATTACTGAAATAGAGCAGCAATACTGGTGTATTTGAACAAAGCCAGGTCTCTTTTATGGTTTAGTAGACCAATAGGTATTGTTATGTAATTACTGAAAAAGTTTAAATGTGTTCATTATAGTGTATTTAAGAAGGCAAAGACAGTGTCATTAGGAAGATTCCTATCTTAAATGCTTAATGGTAAAAATGCTGATATGTATTATTTTTTTTTATATGGAAAACTCAATCATTAAGAATAATTCATTTGCTTGAAGTTTCCATAGAACAGATTTTACTTTCAGGAGTCATCAAATCTTTAATCTACATGCTGACCTTTGTTAAAAAAATTTGAACAGACTGTTAAACTCGGTAGTTTTCATTTTCTTTCCCTTGTTACAGAAGTATTTATTTGTAATACTAACTACCAGAATAAAACTCCAAGTCTTTTAAAAGGCATAATTCTTGAAGAGATTAGGGAAGGCATTACATTTTTGAAGCAAGAATAAAGGCTTATTAAAGAAATGAAGAATAAGATCAGACTTTTAGAAATTAAAAATGTGGTTGAATATATTTAAAAATTAGATAGAGAATTTAAAATGTTGATTTTAAGCTGAGTATGGTGGCACATGCCCAAAGCCCCACCTTCACTGTAGGTTAAGGCAGGAGGATTGCTTGAATCTAGGAACTCATGGCCAGCCTCACATAGTGAAACCCTGTCTCACAATTTTCCCTTAAAATATATCCTTCCTTGCCAGGCTCAGTGGCACGTACATGTAATCTGGCTCAGGAGGCTGAGATAGGAGGATTGTGAGTTCAAAGCTAGCCTCAGCAATGGCGAGGCACTTAGCAACTCAGTGAGACCCTGTCTCTAAATAAAATACAAAAAAATAGGACTGGAGGTGTGGCTCAGTGGTTGAGTGCCCCTGACAAGCAATCAATCAATCAATCAAATCTCCATTCATTTCCCCTTCAAAAATGGTCTGTTGCCGGGCACAGTGGTGCACACCTGCAATCCTAGCTACTCTGAGGCAGGTGGATTGCAAATTCAAGGTTAGCCTCAGCAACTTTAGGAGACTCTGTCTTAAAGAAGAAAAAGGGCTGGAGATGTGAAGCTCAGTATTGAGAGTGCCCTGAATTCAGTCCCTATTGCCACAAAAACAAAATCAAAAACTAATCTTTTGAGATGGCGATTAAGTGAAAAATAAATTATTTTCTTAAAAATTTAGAGAATAAGTCTATATAGAAATTAATAATATAGTTTTAAAATGTTTTATATTTTGATAAACATCTTTTCAAAATAATTTTCTTGTAAATTAATTTGCTTGTTTTTTTACATGTATTTCTGTTCATTGAACATTGCTTGCTACAGTAAACTATTTTATTTCTTGTAGATCAGTGACACAGTAAACAGTACAAAAGTGGAACATTCAGCCATGAGAGGAACTGCAATGAAAAACAAACAAGATTTCAAAGCAACAGATTCTAATGCCATTTTATATTCTTCTTTGGCATCTAATGCTTCTAATCATAATAGTTGTATGGTGGATATGCTAAGGAAAAATGAAGGTATAAAGATGACATTTTGAATTAAACTAAACCTTTTTATAATATGGTAGGGAGTTTTAGAGTCATTGAAAAAGTAAATGTTATGTGGTTTAAACAATTTTCCTCAAAATATTTACCATATTGCACCTAGTTAGAGTAAGGTCAGAATACAAAGTAGGCCCTTACCTGAATAGTAATGACTTGTTATGGGTATACGAAAGTTCTTGGATAACATTTGATGTTAGTGTTCAGTGTCATTATTCCTTTACTTATTTTTATTTTCTTAGCCCTGAAATTATTTATTTTGGGCAGGGATTTTGTCCATTTTGTTCACTTGTATTTCTCCAGCACCTAGATCTGTGCTTGGTAAATATAGTAGTCACTTAGTAAATATTTGTTTGGCAAATAACTGGATTATCCTCAGAAAGTTAGCTCAGTTATAAGAACTATTGATTAGCCCATTGCATTCATGAGAGCTTATAACTTGGTGATAATTTTATTTGCATATGCTGATGCCATTTACATTAAGCATTTCTTCTGATTTCAGAACCTGAAATTATTTTATAAATCTCATTCTGATATATCTCTCACTTAGAAACGTGATTATTTTTTAATTTGTAAAAAAAAAACTTGAAAGCTGATATAAATCTAATTATTCTTCACTTACTCGAATTTAACAAGATGAATATTCCTTTTATCTCTGTTTATCTTTATAGGTCTATGTTAGATAAAAATATTCAAGGAAGATAATTTCCTATAATTTGGATAAGTTTAAGTAGTTTAATTTTTGGCAAGTGGTGAAACCAGATTGGTTGTGCGATAGTGCCTGGCACATTGTTTATACTCATATGTGTCATAGAAAGACTCCCCAGTTGACTTTTTCTCTGCAGTTTAGAGTAGCTGCTGAAGAGTGTTTCAGAAAGTGAAGGAGGAATATGTTTCATTTTTTAATAAGCTCTCTAATCTTACCATCAGGAAGAAATATGGTAGGAAATGGTTAGGAGACTCGGTAGGGCTCTGTCAGAACTGGGAGGTACATAGAGACTAAAGCAGTACATGGGATGGAGTCATTGAAGAGACTTTTATTTTAGAAAGCTGTGTTAATTAAAATTGGCAAGTGGGTGGATATAACAAATAAAATTGAGTTGAATATAAAGTTGAACATCAGAATGGATAATGCTTCTCTTTGTCAAGGTAGAAAGTATCAGAGCAAGAACAGATTTGGGGAAAGGTTCAACTTTGAACATACTGTTTTTGAGGAACACAAGAAATATATTGGTGAAGATTTTTAATGGGAAATTGTATACTTAGATCTGGAGTCTAAGAGAGAGTCCTCAGCTGGAAATACACATTTAGAAGTTTAAAAAGTATCTAAAATATAAGTTCCACAAGAGCAGGGACCTTGTTAACTTGTTCACTATTAGATTCCCAGCCACTGGTACAGTGCCTGGAACATATATATCTATATGGGAGGTGAATGATTCATGATGGTTTTTAAAGCACAGGGAAAATATGCAAAGGGAGGGGGAAAAGGCAGCTGAGCAACATGGGACTATAAGGCATCATTTGAAGAAGAAAAACTAACTGAAGAGGTTGAGAAGCGGGGGGGCTTAGAGGGGTAGGAAAAGACAAAATACTGGTATGTACCTTTTCTTCAGACATCACAGTTTGTGCCTTTTTGTATATGAATATCTCTATCATATGAGAGAGCTCATGGGGCATGAATCCTGCCTGCTTTGCAAATAAGCACAATGTCTGATAGACTACAGACCTTCAGTATTGTAGAATGAATGAATGAGCCATAGAAATATATTTTCAAAGGAATATATGGTCAGCATTGTTAACACTACAGAAAGATCAAGTAAATGAATACTGAAAAGTATTCCATAGCAATCATTGACATTTGCCAAAACCGTTTCATTAGAGTAGTATGCTAGAAACCAAAATTTGCGAAGATCAAGGATATGGAAATTGCTCTGAAGAAAATTAGTGAGGGGAAATAGAAACATGAGGGGACTCTGGGTGAAGGAAGATGTGGGTTTGCTTTCTTGAGAGACTTAATGATGTTTATGTAATGAGAACTAAAATCTAAAGAAGAATCTAAAAGTCCTGAAAAGACAGGAGTGATTGATGAATAAAGGTCCCAAGATATGAGGGAAGACAGATTAAACTTCCTTGAGAGAAAGCTCAGCTCATCTTCTGATATGGACTAGAAGACAGGGAGGATGGGCACCATTTCTAGTTTGATGCAGGAGAAGACAATAAATTGATGGAATCCATGCCTGATGACTTGAATTTTTTTTATAACAAAGAGGCAAAACCATTTGATCTATGGTTTAATAGAGAGTTCAAGAACAGTGTTTTAGTGTTTAGATTGGAAGAGGAAGCTAAGAAGTTGAACATCCACTATAGATAGAATGCATTTTTCTTCTGGACATTTTATGCCTTATGGCCAAAACATACTGATGCCATTTGCAGGCTCATGTTTATGATTTTAAAATTGAAAGTACCAGAAAACATGATAAAAACAGTATGACACAGTTATTTCCAGGTACTGTACTAATAATAGATCTTTTCTCTTTAAACTTAGGTCCTCACACTTCAGCAAATGTAGGTGTACTAAGTAGTTGCCTGGACTTAAGAACAGTAACCCCTGAAACTTCGGTGTCCAGTACTGTTTCCAGCGCACAAACTATGGTAACCCAGCAGACCATTAAAACTGAATCATCCAGTACAAATGGGGCAGTTGTTAAAGATGAAACTTCACTAACAACATTCAGTACCAAATCTGAAGGTTTGAAATGTGTTTCACATACTGTATTTTGAACCATTTAATGTATATAAATTCATCAGATTTATTTGTTTTAAATAAGAATTGCATTTCATCTTGAATTGAATCATGTAAGCAGATAAAGCATTTCAGTTAAGTATGTTATATAAAATAATCTTTGCTGCCTTACATAAAATATTTAGATTAACACACACTGAGATATAATCAGAATATATTTTCCCTACTGTGATTAAATTCAGCAAGCCTTTTTCCATATAAAAAATTAGTTGTAGAACATGGATTAACAGTTCTTCCAGCTTGATTAATTTCTAATTTTATAAATTCTTATTCTTTTACAGTAGGAATTATTTCGTCTTTGGTATACATTCTATCGAGTTCCAACTAGTTATCAAACTCATAAGAATGAACTATATGAATTAATTTGAATGCAAGTTCATATTTCTGGGCTGGGGTTGGAGCTTAATGGTTAGAGCATTTGCCTCACATGTGTGAGGCGCTGGGTTCGCTCCTCAGCACCACATAAAATAAATAAATAAAATAAAAGTATTGTGTCCATCTACAACTAAAATTTTACAAAAATAAATAAAAAAGAGTTCATATTTCTAATTACCATGATTTTCTCCCTCTAGCTATTTTTTTCCCAGTTTTTTAAATTGAAAAATACACATAACATAAAATTTACCATCTTTACCATTTTTAATTGTACAGTCCTATGGTATTAAATGCCTGCCTACTTATAAGTTATATTTTCATGTGTCCAAGTAATTATATAAATCTTAATTGATTAATTGTTTAATTTTTAGTTGATGAAACATGTGCTCTGCCTGCAACTAAGATTAGCCGAGTAGAGATGCATGCTGTACCCATGCCATTTGCTGTAAGTACATTACTTGGTGACAATGCATGTTTTCAAATGATTATTGTTGCTTTTTAAATGCTGAGCAACTTCTAAGTAAATTCATGAAAAGGTCCTTATGTCTTAGTTAGTAATGAATTGATAATAAATTTAGAAATAAGTTGTTGAATAGGATAATATTCCTAATGTTTAATGGAAAAAGCTTGCTAAAATGATAATACATATGCTGTGGTCCCAGTTTTAATAAAAAATACACATAATACATAAGTTCACATTCTCACATGTACCTACACACATGCACACTAAAATGCTACATGATTCTATTTGTGGGGCCACCACAGATTATTTTTACTTTCTTCTCTTTATGCTTTCTATATTTTTCTGTAAAGAAACATTACTTTTTAAATCAGAAATATATGTGTGTTTACACGCATATATATGTGGTGTGATATGTAAATTACATTAATGGTTTAATGATAGTTATGTTATGGAACAAAAAGTACTTGGCTGTATTTCTAGGAGCACAATAGAATACTGCAGTGTTGGATTGACATACACGTAGGACAACCCAGTAATCTCTGGCAAAGGCCAAAGTTAATCTGCATGGCACCAAACTTAAAATTCTAGGAAAGTGCATCACAAATACACCAAGGTTGTCTTAATTAGATATGTATATAAGGATAATACATATATGCATATATATTTTTTAGTTTTTTTATGATGAGTCATTTCAGCTTTATTGTTGTCAGCAAGAGGTTTTTTTTTGTTGTTGTTGTTGTTGTTTTAAATAACATTTACCTTTTGGAATCTTCTAAGAATTGTGTGTAGTTTTCATTTTCTTTCAAATTTTTGGATTGCGACCATATATTTACCTTAATCAGCTTTCATATTTCCAGAATGTTAAGTCCTAGTGTTCTTAGATTCTTTTCAAGAAAGGATTGTTAAAATGAACTTTCTTCTTTTGAATCTGTTTTGCAATGATCAGCCAGAATTGTACTGGTTATTTCAGCTGGAGCCAGTTGTTTTATAAAGTTGTTGAAGAGAATTTTTACAACTTTAAAAAATGAAGACAAGTTTAAAGCTATTCCTTTTTTCTCTAACCTTAAAGATTCTTCTAGTTAGTTCACTTTGTCATGTGTGATAGCCTAAATAACAAAAAATGTGAATGATAAGCATGTACCTCTGCTGTTATATATTTAAGACAGAAATAAATAACTGAAGTGCACATTTGTTTTGAGCTTCTGGAAACAGTGTCTCATTTATAAGAAGATGGCTTAAAAAGGTTAGTTCCAGGGATAAGTATAATTCACTTACCACTAAAAGTAGCTTAAGGTAGAGGAAATTTATTTGTTTTTAAAGCAGGGTAAAACATTTAAAACTGTTAAATCTCCTTCTCTGTAGTATATACTAAAATGTATTCAAATCGCATTTTAGTTTTGAACATTTTTTCTCCTTTTAGGTTTGGAGAATCACAGGTATTTCAAGTGCAAAGATCACTGAATTTTTGCTAGTTGTTTTGAATCTAGTAAAAAGCCAGCTTGGAATGAATTTTTCTTTATTTGCTCCCCTTGGAGCAAGTGTAATGTTTCACTAGCGGGATTACATTTTTCGGAGAGGGTCTCTGAAATGACAATGTTGTATAAAACAGCTGGAATTTTAACATATCACTGATTGTGAAGCATGCTAACTCTATAGTACAGAGTTATAGTGCAGAGCTACTGAGTTTGAGAATGCCTGTCACTCCTATGTTTTAATTGGTGTCCCCTTTTCACTGTCAGTTGACCTAATCTGTTAAGACTTTATTTACTTATAAGCTATTAATGTTGTGGTGTTTACCCCATATACCTACTTGTATTTGTAGATCACTGCATGGATTTATTAAATCTTGAACTTTCTTATATGCTCAGTAAGAATCTTCATAAATCTTTCTTTCTCTAACATTAGAAAGAGTCTCCTTCAAATCCAGTGGCTACAGTGAAAGCAGGAGAACGACAGTGGTGTGATGTGGGAATTTTTAAAAATAATACAGCTTTGGTGAACCAGTTTTATTTGCTGCCAAAAGGGAAGCAAAACATCTCCAAGGTAACTTGATATATTTTCTTATAAACCTTGAGAGTGAGATTATTTTTATGAATCTTATTCATGTTACTATAATTTAGTGTTGTGTATATGTAGTCATCTTGTATTCTTTGTTAAGGCTCTTTTTTTTTTTTTTTTGGTACTGGGGATTGAACTCAGGGGCACTCAACTACTGAGCCATATCCCCAGCTCAGTTTTGTATTTTATTTAGAGTCAGGGTCTCACTGAGTTGCTTAGTGCCTCACTTTTGCTGAGGCTGGCTTTGAACTCACGATCCTCCTGTCTCAGCCTCCTGAGCCGCTGGGATTACAAGCATGTGCCACCATGCCCAGTTTATTAAGGCTCTTTTAATAAAATATATAGCAAACATGTCATTTAAAAACTCTTTATCACTAAGCTGGACTTCACATCATAAAAAATCTATTCTGGCCAGCTAAAAAATGAGGATTATTTTGAAATGTTTCCCATTTTTTTACTCTGTGTATTTAGAGAATGGAATGTTGTCCCATTGATTCAGGAGGCTGAGGCAGGAGGTTTGCAAGTTTGAGGTCAGCCTAAACAATTTAGTGAGATGCTTTCTCAAAAGAAAAAGGACAGGGGTTATTGCTCAGTTGTAAAGCACTCCTGGGTTCAGTCTTTCAAAAAAAAAAAAAAAGAGAGGGCCGGGGATATAGCTCAGTTGGTAGAGTGCTTGCTTCACATGAACAAGGCCCTGGGTTCAGTCCCCAGTACCACATGCGCGCGCACACACACACACAAAAGAATGAAACATTCTTTTTTATTGAGAGATTTTTTTTTGTTCCTGATTTTACATTTTAAAAAGTGTAAAAGCCCCAATATGCTATTGAATGCTTTTCCATTGAGTCTGACCCCCTTATAGATACATTAATTGAAACATTATCAGCCTTCTAAGAATTAATTAAGTAGATAACAGTTCTAAAGAGTGTTGGACTAATTTTTTTTTAGATGGAGAATTTCTGAGAGGGGATTGTCAAGGAAATAGATATTTACTTTAATTTTTTAGATCTTTCCAAAAGGAGATAATAAGTTTAAAAATCTGAAATCCTAAATGCTTAAAAGCCAGAACTTTTTTGAGTGTCAACATGCTGCCATAAGTGGAATAATCCATATCTGACCTCATGTGACAAGCCAGAATAAAAATGAAGGCATACTAACTTATCTTTAGGTGATTTGTATAAGGTATATGAAAGAATGAACAAGGCTTGTCTGGGACAGAGCAAATGCCCATTTATTGGGGAACAGCTCTGCGTATTTATAGAGCCAGAGGTGGCTTGACAGTTGGCATGGGGTGCTTTTTGATTGGAGGGTAAGGATCAGGTGAGCCAGCAGGGCTAGTCTGATTGGTGGGTAGGATCAGGTGAGCCAGCAGGGCTCTGATTGGTGGGTAAGGATCATGTGAGTCAGCCAGGGCTCACCATTGGACGGCTCTTCTTGGGGGATGGGGAAGTTAGTCTTTGGAGCCAGGGCAACTCCCAACAGTATACATGAAACATAAATAAATTTTGTGTTTAGCTTAGGTCTTATCCCTAAGAAATCTCATGTGTATGCTGATATTCCAGAACCTAAAAAAAATCCTGAGATCTGAAATGCTTCCTTTTTTTTTTTAAGATGGATACAATATCTTTATTTTATTTTATTTATTTTTATGTGGTGCTAAGGATCGAACCCAGTGCCTCACATGCGTGAAACAAGCACTCTACCGCTGAGCTATAACCCCAGCACCCGCCAAATGCTTCTTGTACCAAGAATTTTGGATGAGGGATACCTATCCAAAATCCAAGTATATGATCACTTGTATCACATAAAAGTGATACCCAACTTGTATATCATTTACTATATATATTACTTATATTTGAATTTCTCTAATATTACTCTTGATGTCCCTCTTTTTCACAATGAATTTTTCCAATATTGACAAGAACAAATTCTGGTTAATAATTTGTTAGTATTATGCTTAATGAAATTTCTGGCTGCAGTTGGCTGTTATATATAAGGACATATCCATATAAGGGCCGATTAGCTGCCTGATTTTTCCTAAAAGAAGTAAAGAGCATAGTGAGGCATGGTGACACACATCTGTAATCCTGGCAGCTCAGGAGACTGAGGCAGGAAGATCACAAGTTCAAAGCCAGCCTCAGCAACTTACTGAGGCCCTGTCTCAAAAAATAAAAAAAGGGCTGGGGAAGTGGTTCAGTGATTAAGCGCCCCTAAGTTCAATCACTGGTACAAAGAAAGAAAGAAACAAAGAAAGAAAAAAAGTGAAATAACATAAAATTTAGAGCCAGGAACTTGGTTTTGACTCACTAGCTCTAGCACTCAGCAGTACGAAGAGGGCAGGTCACTTATTTAACCTCTTGAGACTCAGCTTCCTCATCTATGATACATTGGCAGCCCCTGGCCCACAGGGAGATTGTGAGGGTTTAAGGAGAATGTATAAAATTTGAAAGTAATAAATGTTATGATTTAACTTCTTAGAATATGTAATCTAATTATTTAACATTTATTCAGTGTCCTGGATATAAATTTTTAAAATTCACTATACTATGTGTTGATCTCTCCTTTTCTGTCAAACTTGCTTGCCTGTCTCTAAGAGTGTTGTTCTTTATTTTTGGTACTGGGGATTGAACTCAGGGGCATTCAACCACTGAGCCACATGCCCAGCCCTATTTTTTTTTTCTTAATATTTTTTAGTTGTGGATGGACACAATAACTTTATTTGTTTATTTTTATGTGGTGCTGGGGATCGAACCCAGTGCCTCACGCATGCTAGGCAAGTGCTCTAACACTGAGCCACAACCCCAGCCTCCCAGCCCTATTTTGTATTTTATTTAGAGACAGGTTGTCACCGAGTTGCTTTTAGTGCCTCGCTTTTTGCTGAGGCTGGCTTTGAACTTGCGATCCTCCTGCCTCTAACATCTGGAGCCGCTGGGATTACAGGCATGTGCCCGGCTCTAAGGGTATTGTTCTTGGGAAGACTATTATTAAACAGTAAACCTGAGATTCTGCTCCAAATTAAGTTTGCATGGAGTTAGGATAATTGTTACTTTGTTTTTATAAAATGGTTGGTAATTTTTTTTCTACCTTCGTACATTTTATGTGCAGAATACCCTTACTGGAAAAATACTTATTCTCTGAATAATAATCACTGATTAATGGGCTTATTGGTTGCTTCTGTATTAGAGGGTTTATTGCTTAGAGTGAGAGAAATAAATGTGAATTGGAACTTTAAGAGTTTTATTGTTCAGTGAAGATTAAATAATTAAAAAATTTAAATAATAAATTAATTGTTTCTAATAAATTAATTGTTCCTCTCTATATATTACATTTTAGGTAGGAAATGCAGATGTACCTGACTACAGTTTACTTAAGAAACAAGATCTTGTTCCGGGCACTGGGTACAGGTTTAGGGTTGCTGCAATCAATGGTTGTGGAATAGGCCCTTTCAGCAAAATCAGTGAATTTAAAACTTGTATTCCTGGTTTTCCTGGAGCCCCTTCAGCAGTCAGAATTTCAAAGGTAAGATGTCAAGTCAAGACTTGTTGGTGATATTATTTGAAACTTCTTATATTAAGTAAACTCTTTAGAAATTTTTGCTAGGATCTAATGAAATCAGAGATATCTAAAAGAGGTGGATTAAAAGTTTAAAAAATATTCTTTGCTAATCACTCTTGGTATTTTAATTACAAAAATCTCAAGCAGAATTATAAGCATCCAAATCATAGAGAAGCAGGGAAATCTGCTTTGTTCATATTGTTATGTATCCCAAAGTTCATGCTGGAGAATTTTAATAGAACATATGACATTGGATTGTATTTTATTGTAAGTCATTCCCTTCCTTAGGGAAGAAAAGATCTGCATTAGAGAAAAATCCTTTTTTTAGGGTATAACAGGCAGATATTTAAAGCTTATTATGTTTGTTAAAAGTGGGCATGAATTAAACATTGTAGATCCCACTAAGGTAGCTTTTCAAAAGTCAGCAATATGAGATCTAACATCTAATGCAATTACTTTAGCAAAAAGAAGCATTTTGTGTTCTAAAGATAGACTTAACATAATAAATACTAAAAGAGAAAACTTGAGAACCTTTACCTGCTCCCCCACTCTTTTTTTTTTTTAGAATGTTGAAGGTATCCACCTTTCCTGGGAGCCTCCAACTTCACCTTCTGGAAATATTTTGGAATATTCAGCCTACTTGGCTATCCGCACAGCACAGATCCAAGATAATCCAAGCCAGCTTGTGTTCATGAGGATTTATTGTGGTCTTAAAACATCATGTATAGTAACTGCTGGGCAACTTGCAAATGCACATATTGATTATACATCCAGGCCTGCCATTGTGTTCAGGATATCAGCAAAGAATGAAAAGGGATATGGACCAGCTACACAAGTTCGATGGCTTCAAGGTAACAATAAAAAAGCACCTTTAAATTGAATTTTTTTCTTTTTTTTTTTTAACTGAAGCTGTTGTGATGATGATTATTTATTAGTAACTGGTTGTGAAGATTTGTCATTTAAAAGACTGTATTTCTAGCAGTTATGAATTTGAGTTTGTAAGTTGTTCTTAAAATGTATTTGCTCAATTCTAGATCCAAATAAAAATAGAAAAGCAAAGACTCTCTGAAAATTAGTATATGGATTCTTCCTTACACATATAGCTCTTTTACAAAGAAAAATAATAAAATCAAGATAAAAGTTAGAAGGCTTTAATATCCCAATACCTTTTTTAAAGGCTATGTAACTCAGTCATCCTAGAATTATTGAGATGATTCTAGTAACTGACTGGTGTACACTTCGCTGTCTTACTTAGTAAGTGTTCGCTACATTGTAAATGATCTATCATTGAATACTTCCTCTAACTTTATTGTCTATGAGCGGTGATCCTCCAACAGCTATCTTCTATGGATAATATTTGTGATACTAATGTTAGTAGTCATTTGATTCTTTTAATCATAGTTAGCACAGAGCTTAAAAAATTTTAGAGAGAGAAAGGCAAGTTCAGAAACTGCTTTTGAATTTCTATTTTTCAAAATCATGGTAAGATTAAAAAAAAATAATAATGGGTATTCTTGATTCATACCAGGCCAATGTATTTGAATATACATTTGGTTAAAGCACTTAATTTACCTGGCCCTTAATTTCCTCACTTACAGATGAGAGAATTAAAAGAGTTTGCCTTCAAGGCCCCTTTCAGTACTAAAATTTTGTATTTTCATCAGATGTAGAGTATGTCCCTGAACATTGAACATGTTCATGTGTCTTAATGGTTTTACCTTTGCTTTTTCTGAAATTAAAAGCTTCATAACTTAAAATTCAAAATTAAAGTGTATGTCCTCCTACTGCAGAAGAAAGAAGCACCTTAACGGGACCCAAGTTTTGAAATAGTGTTTTAAACATTTGTAAGATTTTTGTAAATGCTCTAGATGTTTTATTTTTGCATCATTTTTACCTCAAAATTGTATAAACTTTTTTACAATGAAAATATAAGCATTAGACAGCTAACTCAGGTTCTTTACAACCTTAAAGATGCAGATGAATATTATGAACACTCTGCTACAGGTAACTTGTTTTAAATATTTTAGGAATTTCATGGTTCCACTGCCTATTCAAATCTGGAATGAATATATACAGAGCAATAATTGCAGAAAAGATTTTTCTCACTAAGAGCTACAATAACTGTAAGGGCACCGGTCTATCTTTTTAATACCACATAACCTTATGCCAGTTTAGGTTGACTGAGTAGCAATGTCCTCACACTTTGTGTATAATATCCCCAGCAAAGATGGATTTAATTGTGCAGAATTGATATATATGCGTGTTCCAGTTACTAATTTAAAGTGTATAGAATATTTTAATATATAATTTTTGTAAAGAACTGGGATTTTTATACTACAGTATTTGTAATTAATGTGTCTCACTAATTAAGTTTCTTTTGAAGAAAATATGCAAATTGTTAGACACATAATGAGTGGTTTCTGAACTCTAAAGATAAAATAAATGCACTACTATAGTGTTGTTAGAATACCTTTTTTTTTTTTTTTTGTGGCTATATGAATCCTGATTCTTTAAATGTGTACTTTATAATGTTTACAAGGAGCTTCTCTGGTTTGTTGTCCCAGCAGTTTCCTTGGCGAGAGCTTCATTCTGCATTTGTTTAATTCATATGCTTTGCTTTTGGCATATACTTGCTTTTTGCACTAGTAGAATTTTAACTTACCTCATTATTATGTTTGTAATCATTGTATAGCTTCCATAACATGTCTGATATAGGCTAAAGAAATACTTAACCAAAGTTAAAATGAAAATAAATGGTAAGCAATTTTGCACATATTAAGTGCTAGGATTTGTTGTGTATGTGTGTGTGCTTAGTTATAAAAATAATAAGAATGGAAAGTTTAATAGTATATGTCTTAAACCCAATTATTTTAAGTATCTATCTGCTTTATTAGAAAAACTTTGGCTAACATATCACTTACTTCTTAGAAGGAAGGGCAGCCTTTTCATACCAAGGGATTTGTTAAAATAATGAATCTTTTTTATTTTGAGAATTAGCCAAGTTTTGTTTGTTTTTTTAATTTGACATTAGTATACTGAGCACCAGTCAAGTTTATCTTTCTGATAAGGGATTGGTGACTGAAAGATGCCATTAGAAAATCTCTAATGGCTTTTAATATTAACAGTTAATAAGAGATAGCTGTATGTTCATGAAGAGAATGAATTGGGCAAATAATGAGAGGAGTACATTTAGCTTCTTGTGATTTATACATTTTCTAAGTGAAGATCCCTTTGTATAACAGTGGCTGTATCATGCAGATATTTTTCTTTCTTTGCTTTTTTTTTTTTTTTTAAACCTTCAGTGCTGGGGATGGAACCTAGGGCCTCACACATGCCAGGCAAGCACTCTGTCACTGAGCCACATCCCCATCCCTGGCAGATATGTTTTCATAAGATGATTTACCATGACTTAAATTACTTTCTTTACGCTTCCCAGTTGGGTAAACAACTCAGATGTAATGAGCTTTTGTGTCACACTCCTCTTTCTGTACTCTGCAACTTTGGTTCCCATAAGTATCAATATTTTTGATGTTGCATGCTCTTACAATTATGTTTTCTAAAATATTGTATTGACTTTAGTTTAGTAAACTATTTTGGCAATTTAACCAGAAATAGGGTATATATAAACTCAATTTTATCTGCATTAAAAAATTGAAATAATCTAATTGCATGTATGATGTACCTCTGCCCCATAACTCAGTTGCACAAATATAATTATCTATGGGAGAGTGAAACTGTTGATTCATTATTTAAAATAATAGATTAGCAAAGATTCGTTCTGATTAGAGATATGGTCTATAGCTAAAGATACTTTTATTTTAAAAAATAACAGCACTTATGAACACCATTTGTATCATTGGATATGAAGAATTTATTAGTATTTAATAACAATATTAGTATTGAAGTCTTCAGATCACAAATGAAGTAGTTGCAAAGTAGACCTGGTCTTTGACCACTTACGGTGTAACTGTTGTATTTAAAACTGATTTAGGCAGTTTTATGTATCATGTACCAATGGTATGTAAAATAAAGCACCTTTTCTACTATAAACACTTACAAATGTTATTTATTTTTAAATACATGAAAGAAAAACGAGTGTTGGCAGAGTAGATGTATGGAAATGTTTATGTTACGCATTTGACTTAATATAGGCAGTCTCTAAATTAAGATGGATTATGTCTAAAAGTTTGTTTTTAAGTTAGTGAATTGTGGTTGGGAGTCATTTTTTAATAGAAACATAAAATCTATTTGATCCTAATTGTAGCTTAATTAATAGGCTTGGAAGTTAAAAAAAGTTAATGGTTGCAAAAAATAGCCTAACCTTGTTTTCACCTCTGTTTACTCTTTTTTTTTTTTTTTTTTTGCTTTTCACACTTTTTAGTTCACAGCAGCAGGCTTCTGACCTGCTACCCTACTGAGATGGTTCTGGCAAAGGTCGGGAATAATCTCCCATTTCCAAATCTAGTGATCTCTTTCTTCCTGCTTAATAATCTTGTCACCTGAGCACTCCTTGGCACTTCCATTTTCCACAGCTATGATGCCACATTCTGTCTTTTATGCACCTCCTTCTGTCTTCGTCCACGTTTCCTTGGCCACCTGTCTGCATGCCTTGCCAGCCTGAGGAAGCCTTCAACACACTCCACCTCCTGGTAGATTTAACTGCCTTTTTTTGTGCTCCACTGTCCTTTGTCATAGCAGTTTAAAAACTGTGCCTTTATTATCATTGTCTCCCTCCCTCTGCTAGATGGTAGGTCTTTTTTTTTTTTTTCATTCATTTACTTATACATGGACACAATACCTTTATTTTATTTATTTTTAATGTGATGCTGAGGATCAAACTCAGTGCCTCATACGTGCTAGGCAAGCACTTTGCCACTGAGGTACAACCCCAGCCCTAGATGATATTTCCCAAATATGGGAAAAAATGTTCAGCATCTCTAGTAATTAGAGAAATGCAAATCATCTCACGCCAGTCAGAATGGCAGTTATCAAGAATACAGACAACAATAAATGTTGGCAAGAATGTGGGGGAAAGGCACACACATACATTATTGGTGGGACTGCAAATTGGAAAGTAGTATGGAGATTCCTTGGAAAACTTGAAATGGAATCACCATTTGACCCAGTTATGCCTCTCCTTGGTCTATACCCAAAGGACTTAAAATCAGTATACTGTAGTAATGCAGCCACATCAATGTTTATAGCAGCTCAGTTCACAATATGCCTATATATTTTTGTACTCCAGAGCAGACTTATTTTAATCATGCCTGGAAAAACATAAACTATAACATTCTGGGAGTGAAACAATAAATTCTATAGACTGAACAAAGAAAAGGCTATAAAAAGCTTAGGATGCAGCTTTCTTGTTCAAATAGATTCCCATCTCTTCCCAGTGTCATTTTTCTTCTATCCTGCACTCTATAGAACTAAATTAAGACAATGTCCTCTTATGGGCCTATTAATCTCAGCAAGGATCATCTGAAACTGAGCATGAGATTACTTTATTTTATATAAGATAAATTGAGTAAGGGGCTGCTACTTAAAGGTTGTCAAATTCAAAATCTGACTGCTACTTCTGCCAGTGCCTCAAATCAAATACAGGATTGTGAAGCCCATGGTCTTGGATAGAGAGAAGGCTAGGGAGTCATAGGTATGAGGCTAGAAGGGCTTAACAGGAGTATTCCTTATATGCTGAGTTTACTTTGCTGGTTCAATAGTCCTTTAAAAAGTTTCTGGAGGACTGGGGATATAACTCAGTTGGTAGAGTGCTTGCCTTGCATGCATAAGACCCTGGGTTCAATCCCCAACACCACCAAAACAAAACAAAACAAAAGTGTTTCTGGAGATGTTA